TTATACGGCAAAAGGAAGGGGAAAGGTAGCAGATGTTTTCAAGCACATGAAACTGTCAAAGTTCGCAAAGAAATATCTGGTTTGGCAAGCCATCTGTACCTGTGGCTTGAAAAGCAGCATTTTCATAGCTTCCGGGACTGTCAACCAAGAAATTTACGTGAAAGACTGTTTGAATAAACGTCTGCTGCCTTTCCTGAAGAAACACGGTTGTTCCGTACTGTTTTGGCCGGATTTGGCATCTTGCCATTACGGTAAAAAGGCCATGGAGTGGTACGCCGCCAACAACGTGCAGGTGGTTCCCAAGGACAAGAACCCTCCCAACACGCCAGAGCTCCGCCCAATTGAGAAATACTGGGCTATTGTCAAGCGCAACCTAAAGAAGACCAAAAAAACTGCTAAGGGCGAGCAGCAGTTCAAGGCAAACTGGCTTTCTGCGGCGAAGAAGGTGGACAAGGTGGCTGTACAAAATCTGATGGCAGGGGTCAAGCGTAAGGCCCGGCAATTCGGATTTGGAAAAGCGGAAGCCTAACTGAATATTTTTCCTGAATTTTATACTAATTGAACTTGAAAAAGAAATTTAATTTGATTTTTTAAATAAACGATTTCACCGATTTACACGCGTTTTCCCTTGACCAAATTTTGACCGTATCACCCTTTATGACCGAAAACTACGAGCGAAGGCCATAAGGGCAGTCCAAAAGAATCCTGGGATCTTCGGTCGTGATTTGTCGAAAAGGTTCAGTGCGGCACCCAGTACAGTTCAGCGAATCTGTATGCGAGACGGTTTTCGGTCGTACCGTGCCAGCACACATCCCAACAGGACGCTGAAACAAAACCTGGTTGCCAAAAACCGTGCAAGGAAGCTGTACGAGCAAGTTCTGACCAAGTATAACGGATGTATTTTGATGGACGATGAAACTTACGTAAAAATGGACTTTGTACAAATCCCGGGCCCAAAATTTTTACTTTGCTAAACGTAAGGGGGATGTTCCGAATAAATTCAAATTTGTCTTTGCAGATAAATTCGCTCGCAAGTTGATGATTTGGCAAGGCATCTGCAGTTGCGGAAAGAAAACAAAGGTTTTCATCACTGAAGCGACTATGAATGGGCAGTAGACTGATGCAAAATTTGAAATTTCCGCTCCACAGTGCTCAAACGGTTCCAAATTGGGCCCTGATTAGCCTCCCAAAATTTGAACTCATTTAGTGAGAAGCTGACTTGGCACAAACCATTTGAAGTTGGGAATTACTATGAAGAAACTATAGTTTCGGTTCATATCCATCTCAAAATTCACCAGTTCACTTTACTTCAGAAAATGATAGCTGAGCTTGTTGAAAATTTTCCCAGCTACAACTTTGTTGAAGACCACTTTTCGATCAAATGTAAAGAACAAAAAATATTAATAATTCAAGTCACTGATGTCTTATGATTATGCTCAATCAACTATTCAGCAGGCAACATTGGTGTTTATGTCGCGTAGAATAGAGGACAAAAATCATGGCTACTATGTCACACTGCAGAATACAGTGTTGCCCACAATACAGTTGCTTAATCTTGCCATAAGATTATCAATCTGGTAAACTATTAATAACTTTTTAATTTGACGTTTGGCTGAAAAACGATTTTGTGCAAAGATGTAGCTGATAAAAATTCCCATAAGAATAGCAATAGAATTTGTTAACAGTACAATATTTAAAAAGGCTAGAAGACAATGAACAACAAAAATTGTTTTCCCATAGTAATTTCCATATAAACTTCAAATAGTTTGTGCCAAGTCAGTTTTATATCAAATGAGTTTAAACTTTCGGAGGCTAATCAGGACCCGGTTTGAAACCGTTTGAACACTGTGGAGCGAAAATTTCAAATTTTGCATCAGTCTAATGGGCAGCTTTACAAGGAGTAGTGTTTCCAGAACAAATTTTGCCACCAAATTGTCCAGATTTTCGTCCCATTGAAAATTTTAGGGAAATTATCAAGCGCACATTGAAGAAATGTGTTAAAACAATCAAAACACCATCTGATTTGGAGAAGTGGCGGAAAAGGATGGTAGATGAGGTTGATAGTACTACTGTGCAAGACATGATGAGAGGTATTTCGCAAAAAGTTAGAAAAACCATCCGAAAAGCTGACGTATCCCTTAAAGCTAAATAAAAATCCCACAAAATGATACCTTTAGCGTTTTTGTACTTTATTTCCCCTTGAAGAAATGACCTATTTCGTGCGGCCAAATTCTAAATGGAACAAACTTTACTGTAGATATTCCGGAAGTTTTATGGTAATGGAAAAAAAATCCGTTAGCGTATTGCGAATACAATGTGCAGTATTCTTGGTTGTCCAGTACATCAGCAAGCATCGCCAATCCTATACTGGTTTCATCAGCTACGTTTACCTCTCGTTATCATGTGTCCACAACTACGTTAGCTCTAATTTGAAAAATAAAAATCGGCACCTTTTGGTGCAGGTGCAGCATCCGCGCGATTACAATGAGGCTAATAAATTCACCTCTAACAACCTGCTCGCTTTTCATACATCATTCAACTGTCAACTTTTTCCCGGCCCACACAGCGTTATTTGACACGACCGCTAGGGGTTGAATGTCACTTTGAAAAACAGTTGCAACAGCTGGAGCAGCAGCAGCAGCAGCAGCAGCATCTGCCCTGGAAAATACCTTCATCCCGATTGGTCTGTCGCGATCATCCCTCGAATGTAAATCAGGCCACCAGTGGTACCGGACGACCTACCTACTACAGTTGCACCGAATCGGGTGTTAATTTCAACACTGTGCCAATTTACGCAGGGTTCTGTTTGTTTTTGGATTGGTCATCGCGCGTTTTATCGGGCGCTGCCACTGCCACGTGAGCAGAGCAGGCCGGTGGGGTGCGGGTTCTACAAAGTGCCCTATCAACAACGACAACACCAAAGGCCGTGGTGGTCGAAAACACACGCCCTGGATGGCGGTGGTGTGGCTCATATTCATTCGCAGATGGGCTCCCGTCGAGGGTTACCAGTGTGTGAATTGGGTTTTTTAGAGTGTATAATGTTTGACTTTCTCGTACACCGAGGTTTACCGAAAGGCTATACCTAATACCACTAGAAAAACACATTTTCGACCTAAGAGGGTCGAGTGTCATATTGGCTCAGATCGTCGAGATCGGAAAATGTCTGTGTGTGTGTGATTCTCTCGGCAACCGATTTGAGTGAAACAAACTTCAGTTTGAGCGTTTTTGTGCTCTGGTAAAACCTTATGGAAAATTTATTCCGATCGGATAAGTAGTTGCGGAGATATAAGTAAAAATAGATTTTTTTTCTTCAAATATAATAGTGATAATTCGTAATCAAACACTGTCACTTATTTTAGAGGTGGCTATACCAATTTGATTGAACTTCTAAAATTCCTGGAAAAATCTGGCGTTAGAAGAAACTTACAGAAGGAATTGGTAGAACTTTTTTCTGAACGGCATTCCGGAGAAAGTTGGCAGCAACTTCGGGTAGGACTTGGGTAAAACTTCCAAGGGAAGATGAAAAACAATATTATATTTAATTTTGAGCTGAACGTAGGTCAAGGTATCTCATCTGGTAGCCCCTTCGTCAGCGGGTTATCTCCGCTAGGGAATGTCAAGCAAACCCCACTGGAATCCTCCTGTTAACCGCGGTGGGTCCGGCAAACAAATAAACCCCACATTTTATGCGCCGTGCGAAATGATTGCGAGTGACCCTTAGCAGCAATGTGCAAACAACAACAACAGCCGATTCGAACATACAGCGAAATTCATACTGCAAGTAAAACATACAGCAACAAAAAAATCCACCATAGCGCATTATTAAACTTTCATCATGATCATGTGTTGAAAATATTTATTACTATTTATGATTATTTCTGCCCGGAGCGAATAAATATAACATGCAAAAATTGGTCGTGTTATATCGTTATTATGCAACGAATGCAACCGCCTCACTCACGACCACCATCGAATTGGTCCCATGGGGAATTTGTTTGTCATTCCCGCAATGGCAACGGCTGTCGGCGCTGGGTTGAGCAGGGTATATGAATTCCTCCGGAACAAAACAGCCCATTTTGTTGGCGTTGATATAAAGCATACAGATTTATACGAATTTTCCGCCACATGTGACCTATCCAGCTGCTTCCATTTTGGAAGTTTTTCGGGTTTGGTCTTTTGTGGGAAAGTGTGGTGGCAATTTTGTCGTTGCGGGTGATGGAAATTCTGTTCGTTATGAGACGCCGATACATGGTCCAGTTCCCATGAGGAGTATAGAAGCACAGAACAGAAATGGAACTTTGGATTCAAAAGTGGCTGTATTTATTTTTGTGAACACTAGCGCACCTAGCGGTAGAAGGCATGCTTTATCTGCATGGGCAGCATGCTTTGATGGTGTACGTGCCCATAGAAAACCCGTGTGAAGCATCGCTTGGTGATCAAAAAAGTTGTCCCACTTTTTGATACACTGATTCGTTCACACTTCCACTTCTGTTCTGTGATAGAAGCCATGGTGCCTCGTAACATCTATCTCTTCAATAGACATTCGATAAGAGGCTCATGGATTACGATGCCAGCACTTGAACCAGACGTACTTGGAACTTCAATATTACTCATTGAGGGATTTATCACTATTAGAGTACTTCACAGGTAAGTAGAATCGAAGCACTTGGGTAGAAAGTAGAGATTTGGAATCCACTTGCTTATCAAATTCCTATTATATAGTAATGACCCGATTTTGTCGGCCCCCTTTTTGTAAATCTTTTCTAATGTTTTACGAAACCCTTGCGTTTTTTCAGTGGTCTTATTGCATCAAAGTATACCATAAACATCCATCTTATAGATGAATAAAAACACTTGGAAATACGGTTATGTACTTATTGAAAGATAAATGATACGCGGAGCGTTGACAAAATCGGATCATTACTGTATTGCGGATGAAGACTAAACGGGTTTACCTATATAAAGTTATCTATCAAAACTTACAAAGCAGTTCACGATTTGTTATCGAAGTGGAAGCAAGTTTCAGGTTACTAGAATAGTTTTACAATGAAAGGTTTGATTACGAAAAATAAGTTTGATTGAAAGATTTTAACCTGGATTTATTTTTTCAGTTCAAGTAATTTTGTTAGCTCTAGTAGCTTGCATAGCTACTCACTCAGTGGCAGAACCTAGCTGTCCCCCATTAGGAGATACGGAAACGGTCGTCTACTTCCCACACCCAACGGACTGCAGCAAGTTTCTAACCTGTCACTGGGGTAATCTGGTAGAGTTGTGTTGCCCGAGTGGCACTTTCTGGAATGACGATATTAGAGCATGTGATCTACAAGGAAACGTAATCTGCACCCCACAACCAGAGCCTACAACTGCGGAGCTCACAACTGCGGAGCCCACAACTGCGGAGCCCACAACTGCAGAGCCCACAACTGCGGAGCCCACAACTGCGGAGCCCACAACTGCGGGGCCTGTCACTACGACCACCGAACTGGACACCACAACCAGTACAATGGCAGCTCCACCAACCCATCCAAGTGAACAGTGCCCGGATTCCTACGATCCAAACAACGAGGTTTTCGTGCCACATGCCGACTGCACCAAGTACTACATTTGCACTTGGGGTGGAGTCGCCGTCGAACAGAAGTGCCCACCGAACCTTCACTGGAATCAAAACCTGTCGTACTGTGATTATCCAGCGCAAGCAGGTTGTTCGTCAGCCAGCCCGACGCCTCAGCCCACTTCAGAACCTGTCACAAGTACAACTTCTGCTCCAACCAGCGCTTCTCCTCCTGCACCATCTGGCGATTGCCCACCAGTGTATGATCCGAGCCACCAGGTTTACTTCCCACATGCCGACTGCTCCAAGTACTACATCTGCACGTACGAAGGAAGCAAGCTGGAACAGAACTGTCCAGCGGGACTCCACTGGAGTCAAAACGTCTCGTACTGTGATTATCCAGCGCAAGCAGGTTGTTCGTCAGCCAGCCCGACGTCTAAGCCCACTTCAGAACCTGTCACAAGTACAACTTCTGCTCCAACCAGCGCTTCTCCTCCTGCACCATCCGGCGATTGCCCACCAGTGTACGATCCCAACCATCAGGTTTACTTCCCACATGCCGACTGCACCAAGTACTACATCTGCACGTACGAAGGAAACAAGCTGGAGCAGAACTGTCCAGCGGGACTCCACTGGAGTCAAGCGCAGAGCTATTGCGATCGTCCTGAGCTAGCTCAGTGCACACAACTGAAGTGAGCCGCGCGTTTGAAATGATGAAACGAACTGTTGGTTAGTTCAGAGATATATGTGTTGTTTTTTGACTGATGTAGATTTTTAATTTAATTAAAATAAAGATTGAATTTCGAAAAATACAAATGTACTGTTTTGATTTTTGGATGGCTCAAAATACTTGTTTCGAAAGCTGATGGCGCCAGTTCACTGTGGGGATTCAGATTGCCAATAAGAAGAAGATCGACTTTCTCCGATTCGTGATTCGTTTTTGTCCATCGCTAGTAGACTGTTCAACGGAAAAAAGCCCTGAAAATCAGTTTTCTAAAGTATATACTTGCCGAGATATTGATAATAGAGTCGGATAGTTGCCGATTTTTGTGAAAATAATAATGAAACTAGAGGAGCTTTAGTGATGTGAGTAGTGAACTTCACGTTATGGAGTTATGGAGAACCGGAAAATTATTGATACATTATTGAATGCCCCAGGAGAGCATGCAATATATCATTAGATGATGTGCATGCTGTCAAAAGGCTTCCGTGAACTTCCCGGAGTCATACAGATATTCAGGACATTGTTCAAGGCTTCAGCCTGTCTAACCATTCGATAATGTGCCTATTAACAGAAGGCTCTCTTTATTTTCACGAACCCTTAAAGACTATCATGACATTGTTGAAGTCTTAATTGAGCCTGCAGATCTTGAAGATCTTAACTCCAGAATACTTTGGAGATTTTTTTTTTTTTTTATAATTACTTTATTTGTACAGGCTCAATCGAATAAACTTTACAGAGCCGAGTTATTCTTTGCGTTATTCATTATTACTGTCTTAAATTTAAAGTTATAGGAACTGGACCGAGTACTCGCGGTTGTCTCGAGGTTAGTGGAGATTTACAATTTTTTGGATGGGAAAAGGGAAGCAGGAGGTTTGAAATGTGGTTTACGATACAACTATTTAATTAATCCTAAAGCATGAAATTATTTCTATTCACCTTGAAAACAAACATTGAAAAAAAAAAAAAACCCACACGTACAAAATACAAACTAAACACAAGGTTAATCAAACTTACAATCTAAGGTTAATATCCTTAAAGTAAACATATATGAGTTTCATAAACTCCAGATCGCGTCTAGCCAAAATATCCCGAACTGGAACATTAGGTTGTCTACCTCGAGCCCGAAGGGAATCATAAAAATGTGATCTGACTCCACGATACTCCGCACAAGACCAAAGGATGTGATCAGCGTCCTGGTAACCTTGTCCACATTCACAGAGATTGCTGTCTCCCAACCCCACACGGAACAAGTGAGCGTTTAGACAATAGTGATTGGACATGAGACGAGACATCACGCGTATGAAGTCTCGACTCAAGTCCAACCCTTTGAACCATGCAAACTTCGACACCTTAGGGATAATTGAATGTAGCCATCGTCCCAAGCTCCCTTCACTCCATTGATGTTGCCAGCTAACGAGCGACTGCTGACGATAAATAGAGAAAAATTCACTATAGGCGATTTGTCGATCATAAATGTCGCCTTCCATAGCGCCCACCTTCGCAAGTGAATCCGCCTTCTCATTGCCCAAAATTGAGCAATGCGAAGGGACCCACGCGAAGGTGATGATGAAAGAGCGCACGGATAAAGTACAAAGCAGTTCTCGTATTTTCAAGAGAAAATACGAGAAGTGCTTTACCGGCCTAATGGAACGGATAGCCTCGACAGAACTGAGACTATCCGTAAAAATAAAGTAGTGGTCTGGAAGAAGTGAAGCAATAGTTTCCAAAGTGTAGTGAATTGCTGCCAGTTCAGCCACATACACAGAACAAGGAGCTTCAAGTTTTCGAGAGGCGCTATGAAATTCATTAAATACACCAAAACCAGCGGACTCCTCTATTAGAGATCCATCTGTGAAAAACGTTCTTGCAGAATCAACATAGCCAAACTTTGCAGCGTATAATGACGGAGCAATCATAGAACGATGATGCTCTGGAATTCCGCGGATTTCCTGCGTCATAGATAAATCAAAATTCACTGAATTGCCGAAATCGGAGAATATTACACGATTGGGAATATTTCTTGAAGGGCTGACATCCTGTGTTAAATATAGGTAGTACAAAGTCATAAAACATGTTTGAGGATTTAGCTCCAGAAGCTTCTCAAAATTTTCGATCACCAGTGGGTTCATTACTTCGCAACGGGTGAGGAGCCTCAGAGATAACTCTGAAAAACGGACGGATAGAGGCAACATGCCCGCCAGCACTTCGAGACTCATAGTATGAGTCGAGTGCATGCATCCTAACGCGATACGAAGACAACGATACTGGATCCGTTCCAGCTTGATGATGTGCGTTTTAGCTGCCGACTACCAACTACCATATTCTAGAACCGATAAAATCGTTGTCCGGTACAACGTCAGAAGATCTTGTGGATGGGCTCCCCACCACGTTCCGGTAATTGATCGAAGGAAATTGATCCTTAGTTGGCATTTTCGTCTCAGATACTCAATGTGGGATCTCCAGGTGCATTTGGAATCGAACCAGACCCCGAGATATTTAAAAGACATGGAATGAGTGATCGGTTTACCCAAAAGTTGAAGCTTCGGTTGTGCTGGGCTATGCTTCCTAGAAAAAACGACCAACTCAGTTTTCTCCGTGGAGAATTCGATATCTAGCTGAATAGCCCAAGTAGACAAATTGTCCAAGGTATCCTGTAAGGGTCCTTGCAGGTCAACCTCTTTTGGCCCTGTGATAGACACTACGCCGTCATCTGCAAGTTGTCTCAACGTGCAATTGTCACTAAGACAATTGTCAATTTCTCTAACGTAGAAATTGTACAACAGGGGGCTTAAACATGAGCCTTGGGGGAGACCCATGTAGCTAAATCGAAAAGCTGTAGAGTTTCCATGAGAAAAGCTCATATGTTTTTCTGACAGCAAATTGTACAAAAAATTATTCATAAATGGAGACAATCCACAAACGTGGAGTTTCTCTGAAAGAACTTCAACGGATACTGAATCAAAAGCCCCCTTGATATCCAAGAACACAGAAGCCATTTGCTCTTTCTTAGCAAAAGCCAACTGAATTTCCGAGGAAAGCAACGCGAGACAGTCGTTCGTTCCCTTACCCCTACGGAAACCAAATTGAGTATCTGAAAGAAGGTGGTTCGTCTCAACCCATTTGTCGAGGCGAAAAAGGATCATTTTCTCCATCAATTTCCGAATACACGACAGCACTCGTCTCCAATCGTCGGGAACAATATTGAGCTCCAAGAACTGATTGTACAAGTTCAACATGCGCCTCTTAGCGACGTCTGGGAGGTTTTTCAGCAAGTTGAACTTGATTCTATCAGATCCCGGGGCAGAATTGCCACACGAAAGGAGAGCGAGTGAAAGTTCCACCATTGAAAAAGGCTGACTGATTTCGTCTACCGAATTCGCGGTTTCGCGAGGAGTCAACTGCGACGGCACGGAATCCGGACACACTTTTCGCGCGAATTTAAGAATCCATTGATCCGAGCATTCCTCGCTTTCGTTGTTAGTAGACCGGTTACGCATTCTTCGCGCCGTACTCCAAAGAGTATTCATAGACGTTTCGCGCGACAATCCGTCTACAAACTGCCGCCAGTAACCCCGTTTTTTGGCCTTGATGAGGCTCTTGAGTTCGCGTTCAAGAGATGTGTATGCGTCGAAATGCTCGCGTGTTCCACGTTTCCGAAAAAGTTTAAACGCGTCGGACTTTTTACGGTAAACCTCCGTGCATTGTTGATCCCACCAGAGCGATGGTGTTTTCTTACGGATTGACGATCGCGGCACCGGTCGTGTTTGAGCTTGAAGGGCGCTGTCGACGATGAGATTAGAGAAGAAATTATATTCCTCCAACGGCGGAAGCTCTTCCACTGACGATACTGTATCGTCTATCGCGGATTGGAACTTAGTCCAATCGATGTTACGGGTTAGATCATACGCGACGTTAACGGATTCTGACGAGTTGAACCCACTGGCAATCGAAATTTTGATCGGCAGATGATCACTACCGTGCGGATCCTGGATTACATGCCAAGTGCAATCCAACGATAGTGAATTGGAGCAAAAGGTGAGGTCTAATCTGCTACCATTCGAGGATGGACCAGCCAAACGTGTTACTTCTCCATTGTTAAGTATTGTCATGTTGAAGTTGTCGCAGAGATCATAAATCAAAGTAGAACGGTTATCATCGTACAGCTCCCCCCAGCCTGTACCGTGGGAGTTAAAATCAACCATGGAGCGGGAAGTACCGCACATATGTCGAAAAGTTGTTTGCGATTAACAGAGACTCTAGGAGCAATATATACAGAAGCAATACAAAGGCTCTTACCTTTAATGGTAGCCTGACATGCGACAACTTCAATACCGGGGAATTCGGGAAGATTCACTCTATAGAAGGAATGGCACTTTTTGATCCCCAAAAGTACCCCTCCTCCACGTGAATCCTCACGATCCAATCGAATAATGTTAAAATTAAAAAAAGGGAGATCAATTTCTGAAGAAAGCCATGTTTCACAGAGCGCAAATGCATCGCAATTATTGTTATGGACTAAATACTTGAACGAATCTAATTTCGGAATAAGACTTCGACAATTCCACTGTAGAGCGGTTCCACGAACAAGTGGAAAATTTTTCCAATTTTTATTTTTTGTATTTTTTGATTTGCATGAAACCTTGCATAAAAGTTTTTGGGGAAGAAAAACGCCGTTTTGCATACTTGGTTCGCCATTTTGAATCTAGCCTTACTTATGAGAAGGGCCTATGAAAAATGCACATGATATCTTCAAAAAATTGTATCTCGGAAACGGTTTGTCCGATTGGTTTGGTGTCTTGAGCGAAGTTTTAGACAATTGTTGGTGTTATATGGAAAAAATATGCACGGTAAAAAAAAAGTTTAGTATTTGTGTTTTGAACTAAAATATAAATTTTCCCTTTAAAGTGACATGTCAATAATTTTTTTATTATCCTTATGTTATAGCTGACTGAAAATGCTATCTAGTGCACAGTAGGTTGTTCT